ACCATCCTCAGCTGAGAGCATGGTGACAGGGAGCTTGCGGTGCATCGACGGTTTGGTGACGAAAATGTGGCCCCGGCCTGAGGTTGTTCTCGAGGCGTTACCATTGCGATGCTCGAAGTGCAATTACAGACCATCATGTGGGGTATCTGACGGCTCTTGTGGAAACTGTGGCGCTCGAAAACGGCGAGGAGATAGGAGCCAGCAGTTCACTGATGGAACATGTTGGAGATTCCAACTGAGGCCTCTGAGTGGGACAGGAAGCAATACTGATATGATAGTGGAAGTACGAGGAGAAGTCCAACTGCATGAGGCAGGATGCAACTTCAAGCTCGGTAGCTGCACCGGTTGATTACTTCCACATTGCGTTGTCAAGGCTCTACCTCAGGCAAGCATGTTCGTGTCCTTGGCGTAGTCGATAGAGAGCCTGTCCCAATCGTTGAACCTCTAGGATCACGAACAGGGTTCCGGCTATATCTAAAGGTCAGCTATTGACCGTCGCGACTGGGTTCGTTGATTGCTCCATTTCGGCACTTCAGCTTGAGAACTCATTCACTGATACCTCTCCAATAGGCTCGCCCGACCATGTTTGGCGAACTGTTTGCCGCAAACATTCCTACTCCCATCATAGATAATGCAAAGCTACACGAAAAAGGAATATCAAACTCGTCTCAGGCAGCATACATGAGTCCGTTCGAACCGATTCCACTGTTGCACTACGGAGTGAGGTGTTTCTGTCCGGGCCTACGAGACGTGTTCTTGAGGAGAGTTCGAGCGACTGCCACTCCAACTGTGCAGCCAACAAAAGTGAGGTTGTTAATCACGAGTAACGACTCTTGATTCAGCCGTTACCTCAGGCAGTCACAGGAATCGCAAGGAAATTTAAAGGTGAGTTTTTTGGCCATAGTTTTCAAGTTTGGCAGCACTGAGACAACGGCAGTCTCTCCTCGCTCCTACAGGTCGTTTGTTGAGCGAACTGGCCAAGTCGATTTTTCCCACCGTCCACGATGCGTACGCCCACAAGGTTTACAAATCGATAATTCTTGCTATCACGAGTGAGATCACCGATGTTGCAATAAGTACTCGCTTTCCTCAGCTGAGCTCAGAAGTTTTTTCAATGATTTTAGGAATTTACTTACGAACTAGGTTATAAGTGTACAGAAACCAGCGAAAATCTCCTCAGAATTTCCACATTGTGACTAACACATGTGGTTGATCATATACGTACTCTCCCACACTGCAGCCTACTGCGTATATGAGATACGCCAAGTAGACTATGCTGCGTATATGGAGTATTATTCTCAGTACCGTAGTTTCCGATCGACTACTCAACTAACAGGTGCGAGTAACACTTCAACTGGGAGACAAGCTCTTCGTATACTACTACTGCAAGAGCCAGATAACTTCGACGTTTGGACGCAAATAATTCACGTATGAATTTCGCTTGAATCGGCTCGCTGGATGCCAAACGGCTTGAGAGCTTATGCGATCAGGGAGTTACCGCTGTTGCTCCCTCCGCATCGTCGATCCGGTGTTGCAACTCGCTACGATTACTTCCCAGCATCAACAGCAATGATGATCGCTGGATCAACGCTGGCGAACTGGTATGATCAGGCTTCAATAGTTTCTAGTAAAAACTAGTTGAAGGCTCTTCTCATTGAGATTTTTCTGTTTGCAAGATCGATTCAGTGGGAATCCAAGAGCTGACTGAGCGCAGTTCTTTTGAAGGCGATCCTTGATAGTGACTCAGGCGCTTTCCAACGAGGCTGGAATATGTCTCTTAGAACACATCGATAAGCTTCCTCGGGCCCAATTGAATGGAATCATGCAGGAAAAGACGCAAATTTGCTCGAAGGGTATGATAATAAGATTGATCCTTTCCTCGGCATAAGTCAATCACCATATGTATGAGCTCTCCCATCTTGCACACACATCACAGTGCTATGCGATACGATCAATGTTGTAGGGGTGAAGATTGAAACGGAGTTCACGTGCTCTGTGATTGCCTCGACAAGTGTTAAATACGGCCGTTACGACGGTGGCAGGAAGCTTTCTGAGAACATGGGGCCGCTTGCTGTAAGGCTTATCATCGAAAGCACTAGTGAAACTAACGCTTGTGGGTGAAAACGAAATTATGAACAGTCTTAGTCTGTTCAGAAAGCGGCCGGGGCTTTCGATCTGGTTTTCCTATCGCCGTCTCGGATCAGTAGCTCAACGACAGCAACGCCTGGAATTGCCCGGTCCACCGCGATTGAGTATATACAGTGAGAGCAACGGCGTAGCTTATGAGAATGGCTCAAAGCGAAGCTACAAGGTACATCAAGAGTTTAGACGATCATATCACACTGAGCAAGGAAGGGGAATGCTACTTGAATGACATCCTCACACGACTTGATGAGGGTGAGCGAAATGAAGATCACCAAACGTAGCCGATATCATCCTGTATTCTAGCCTCGGAGAACAACCATATGGCTGAGGTAACCCCGGCATTGATGTCAGCACTGCGGAGGGCAACCCTTATGCGTATGTGTCGTGCATGCTCTCGTCTCGAACGAAGTGGAGTCGTCGAGGTTGAGCACGTGCAAGAAGCACTAGATGTGAGGCTCCGAACCGATGAAATCTGATCAGCCCGATTGATACTTGTTCTAAGTGATGATCTCCAATTTGCAGGTCTATATGGCAAGTGCTCTGATGAGGCAAGACGCTCTCACAGAAGAGGTCCCAAATGGGGGCGGAGCCCAACTCGGGTCAGCCGAGGTGAGCCATGAGGGTTCGGTTGGAACAATACCACATCCCGAACACTGGGCCCCATTGCCCATCGAAGAACATACAGTGATGCATTTTTGATGCATATACCAGCCAGTGTGGGAAAATCCAGTTACGGGGACCTTTGAGAGGTGTGGCCCTCGAGAGAATACTGTGGGACTCGCTAAGCCCCACCCACTACGAATCCCTAGGGGTTGGGCGCTACAGGCAGAAGGTCCACTGGTCACCTCGCGCAGAGGACTGAGGCTGCGCGCCACACCTCTCTATGTGTTCGGCTGAATGCATGATGTTCCCAACACGTGTCCCGGCGTATACTACTGCCCGCCGTATCGGTCTGTGCTAGAGCGAACTACTACCACCACCCCCACCGAGGCGTCGTCGTCGAGGGAGAGGAAAAGCCGGGCGACGGAGGGAATTCCTACTGTATTGCCAGCAAGAGCTCCAGCGAAGGCCGGAGCTGTCGGAAAACGAATTGAAGGATCTCGCTAGGAAGGTAGGTGATGCGAATGGTATCATGATATTGGGTTCAGGCCGGTTGTGACGGAGATGAAGAATGTGAGGCCCTGGTCAGTGAAGCTAACTATAGTGGTTTTATACTGAAGAAAGCGGGCAACGTGTATGAGTACTGTCGATGAAAGCGGAGCACGACCGACGCGAGACGACTGTTTCGCGATTTTCAGTTGGTCCTCATGATTATGCTGATACAACTCTTTCCGGAAATACCATTTCCTTTGTTCCGCAGTGGGTGCCAGGATTCGTAAACTGCAGCAGATCGTAAATTTCACGCGCCCAGCAATGCGTGTGGTCCTCGACTATCGTATTAACCCACCAGCTACGAGACTTCAGGAGTTGTTCGCGTCTTCCAGCCGCAAGAGAACGTGAAATTCAGAACACCGCGTAATCAACTCGTGCACATGGGCGAGACGAAATGTTCATACTTCCGGACTCGCTGTGTTGGAAATGTCGGATCGAATCTCCGTAGTTCCCGAGGTGTCTCCTCTTAGTATGAATAGAAAAGTGAATAAGTAAATGTCTTTTCAACGTATCTCTGGAGACGACTGCTGCTTCAGTCGACGAGACAGCTGTGTGGAGCGCATCGTGCCCCGCGCTGGTGGCGTCACGTCGCCAATCGGCGTCACATTTCGGGCGCATCTCGTGAATTCCCGGCTTAATCTTCTCCCTCACAGGCACGATGGTCAAGATTAACCAGCATGCTATTATTCATAGCGCGGTAGAGCATGGCAGGTTTGCACTAGGGGCAACGGCAGAGCTGGTCGTGACTGGTATGGGGATCTTGCCCATGCCACGGGCCTTCGGCAAGTGGCTGGAAGGTTTCCTCTGCCGCATTTTGAGCTGTGCGATTTCCGGATACTGCAGCATCGGTTGAGCTTTGCTAATCTCAGAGTACGTGGTAGACCAGCGACATCCTATTAAGAGGCCGGAGTAGGTCAAACAATGTGCACTCTCCTGCTCAACCTCCTGGATTCGTATGTGCTGTGCTCTTGGTCATTTCGGGAGAGCCTTTTATCACTTTAGGATAGAGTCTCAACAGGAGTGCAGGGATAGGGATTAGCGCTGTGCTTAATATGCCTCTTGAACATGAGATGTGCTGGTCTACATTCAGTCTCGACACGTTCTGTGTTCCTCCCTTAGTCTTTGCCCACCCTGGAAGTTACGCGACCATAGATTATAGTTATGATGAAATTCCCTATTGATTTCCCCAACACATTCGCCCGATGGAAATTCTTATATGTGTCTTCGATTGTTGCATGTTATATCGACTGTACATGATGGAGTTTCGCTAGGGTACGTTCCCTAGGAGAGTATTGGTACTGTGGTTGACGTTGCCGGGTTCTGATAGCCTTTTCTGAATTCACTTTTCATGTATCGGTTGATGCCTAGGGTGCGATAGGAGCTCATCCGCTCTGGACAGATTGTTGTGTTCGGTCGAATGACAGGAATTCACGATTCGTGACTTACCCTGCATCGCTCATTATGCCTTTGAGGACCTTTTCGGGACTCGTGTGAGTGCACGCATGCACAAGGAATCAGTTGCACGCATATACACAGCTTTCATTCTACATGGGATGTTCGATGAGTAGCCCTCTGAACTCAGACTTATTCGTGGAACTATATTATTCGAATAATTCAGGATTGATTCTGAATTCGAATATTGGTGTACTGAGCGTGGAGAGTAGAAGTGATGTTTCTTACCTCAGTTATGCTGGTTCATTTTTAGAGCACCATAGTGTCTCACCATGTCCATGTCAGAAGATAAGATCTGCACCAACGGTGCTTCCATATGGCGCTCAGCGAGTAGCTTAGTGATGACGGCTATCGGTCTGGGAATATTGGCTATGCCCCGTGCAATGGCTCAATCTGGGTGGGTTGGTGGCTTGCTAAGCCTCTTCCTTAGCACAGCCGTTGCTGCCTTCGGGGCTCTGCTCCTCTGGAGGGCAGCTCTCCTCAACCCTCAGAACAGAGAGACGCCCATGGCATCTTTCGAGGCCATTGGCAGGGCCAGTTTTGGACGAGCGGGTGCTGTTATCCCTTCCCTTGTTCTACACATCCTTCTCATATTCGTCTGTGCCGCCTTGCTTCTCGTTCTTGCTTCTAGCATCCTATCTCTGACCAGAGTGCTGTCTATAAGAATATGGCTACTGATATCGGGTATCGTCTGTTTACCTTTGACGTGGATAAAGGATATGAAAGAGGTTGGCTTGGTTGCTGCCTTCGGAGTGGCGACAGTAGCAGCGGCTGTCATCACTATAATCGTCGCCTGTATTGCCCACTATGTGGAGCGGGAAGACGATCCAGCTTATCAAATTTCGTCCCCTTCGCCTCTGGACCTCATTGCTACGTTCAACATGTTCGTTCTGTCTTTTACGGTCACTGTCACGGAACCTACCGTTATCGCTACTATGGATAATCCTCGAGATTTTCCCAAAGCCTTGGCTCTCGCATTCGGCTTCATTCTCCTCGTATACACGGCTATAACGATACTCGGGTATCTCGCCTTCGGTGAAACACTGCTTCAAGTTGATACTGTTGTGGACGCAATAGCACCTCCCGCGGATTCGTTGACCGTTGTCGCATGGGTCATATACATCATCATGCTACTGCTGGTCGCTGTACATCTCTTGGTGCTTTTCATGCCAACAGCTCATTTCATCGATTCTCTTTGCCGATTCGACGACATGGGACGATGGCACACGCCTAGAAGAGCCACATTGGCTCGTATTGTTACGCGATCGTTACAGCTGGGTGCTTGTGTAGCACTGGCAGTGGCAATACCAAGTTTCAATCGTCTGGTGAACATTTTGGCTGCTTTCTGCATCATAATGTTGGCTGTAGTATTCCCGATATTATTCTACCTCCGTCTGCATTACTTGAATAAGGAGCGTGTAAATTGGATCGTATGTGCAGTGGCTTTGCTACTTCTGCTGCTCAGTCCGGTATTAATTGGAGCAGGGTTGTATGTGGCAGTGACATCTTGAATTGTCAAGATCCCAAGTCGGCATATGGCGGCATTCGGGAACTCTTTTCTTTAATGTGTAAAGCAGTGCTTGCTTTAGACGTCTACAATATGCCTCTCCTGCTCTACTACTAGAATTCTGTTGTATGAACACATTCAGTGTTCAGACTTTTTCCTTGGAATTTTCACGCACTTCTCCTTGTTGTGGGAAGGGGTACAACTCCATTGTAAAGTCGGTTGTGGTGGCCTACAAAAATATTTTCCCCCGTCATTGAACCATTCACCCACTATCAACCAAATCAACTTTCTTCACTTTCATAACACATTCAGTTACTCTACGTTGAGTTGAGAATAAGTAGGCTGTTCACCGAATTGCTCCTCAAGCTAAGCAACCTGCACGAAGGACACTCGCGCGAGAGAGTCTCTCGGAGAGAGTCTTCACGTCTGATGAACTTACTGCATAATCGTCATCCCCTGTGAACAACGAGTACGAACGAAAGAACTTGTTTTGCTCGATTCGAGATTCAGAGCGAATGGCGAGGTTATTCTCCACAGTCCTTCGTAGTAGAAGGTCAATCAGAAAGTAAGCGGATTTTCGACATCACAATCAGCAACATCCTCAAATGATTGACGTTATTGTTCTCTCAGATGGATAATCATTTCAGTCAAATATCACTCAGGATAAGTAAGCGGAATGAGTATCATCATCGAATTGACCAATTGAACCGAGGTAGTGAAAGCAGCACCGATCAAATTTGCTGCAAACGACCTCAGATTAGAAGGTTATGCAATGAATACTCCTGCACGCATACGTCAGGATTCAAGACGGTTTGGCGAGGCGATATTTGACTATTCATATCTTCAGACTGCGGAACACTAACGGTGGGTTAAAACAAGAATATATGATGATTGGCTTGTTCCGTGCAGTTCTATGGTTGTAGACAGAATTGACGAGACTCAACGGAACTAATATGGCAGTGTATTATTATACGGAATATTCCGATACAGCTGCAAGGGCAAGTTCTTTTTTCATAACGTGATTTGAGTGAGTATCGTTCCACTGCGCGTCATAATGGGCAAACACTTGTTGAAGCCACTGGGTAGTCTGAGCTGCTTGGGGATCGCGGCCACCGCCGTAACTTCCCATGGTTACCAACTACAACAGGAAGGGGGCTTTCTGAACTAAACGGCAGCCGAAGACTGGTGTTGTCGTTTTCGCGACAGTGAGGATATCAGTTGATTAAATAGGCGGGCTCGTGTAAGACGAAGCTAGAAGTTCAGTTGGGAGTGGTTCAATTCCTCAAATTTAAGAGGGATAATGGGAGTTTTGCCCAAGGATGAACTCTTTTTTCCTTCTTTTTCTTTTCCCGCTCTGAAGGGAAACCTCAGTCGTTGATAGAGTGACTGATGACACTTTGGGTCCGACCTGGAGGTTTGGGCCAAGCTCGCTATTGCAAAGTAGTTGATCTTGTCAGCCCCACATACCATATCCTCACAGAGCAGGAAACAACAACAACCCCTCACCTGAACACGGACGGATACACTGCTCACCCGAAAATACGAAGTCAGCTGCTGTTGGAATGCCACCACTAAGTCATCCATTACACCGAGGGCCGACCTAGGAACAATTCCTATGAGGAGTTCTCATTGTAATTTATAGCCGAAGTAACGTGTTCGTTCACGAGTGAGTAGTACTGTAATGATGATGTAACAAATACATCTTACTCTCGATCAAGCAAGATGTTCCACTTTAATCGGCGTCGTAGTTGAACGCATATACTGGTAAAAACTGGACGCAGTTCTAATTTAGAGCTCCTACCACAACAACCGGACCTCGAGATTGTTTCTGCCATCTTCAAACTGCCTTTAACTTCATGTTAGTCACATCGACTAACTTCGCTCCGCTTAGTTTCAGAAAAGGTTTCACAAAAATATCGTATTAGCCGTATTAGTAATAATACGTCTTAGAAATCAAATAATAGCCGTATTAGAAATCAAAGCGTAACCTTGTACACGCCTGCATGCTCCGATCGTCCCCAAGTTCTGGTACAAATTCTCTACACATTTCAATGAAATTTCGGTATAACACAACATGAAATGATTTCATGTTGTGTTATACCGATTTCCTTACCACAATTAGTGAACTCCAACATAAATGGGAAACTTAGACCGAGATAAAACAAGCCTTCAGCTCATAGGGATCTTTATAAGAGTGAAAGGAAGCATTCGCTTTAGTGACACTATTGGAGTTTCACCCGTGATATAAAAAACACTAGTGAAGAACATATTTCACGACTCTTGCATAGCCCGTTTTCGACCGAGCATTACGCCACTCCACGCATAACGGGTGAAACTCCATTGATTAACACAATACAAATTCGAACAATGGTGTCAAGTGTCACCGTCCGCGTCACCCCTGGCCTGCTTATACCCGATCACAGCCGAAAATATTCTCTGGGATTCCTCAATAGGCTCATCTAATCACGAAGTGAAGTAAAATGTCATTCACAGAACACATCACAGCTCACCTGCATGCAATGGTAACACTCCTGTGAGGCAACCCTCACCAGCCGCCCGGGGGTCTCTCTGAAGACTAGCAGGATGCTGTAGTAGTGCTTTCAATGCACCATAAGTCGCCCTTGATTCTACGAGGTACGCTTCCTCAAGTTTACGTCTAAGACAAATAATGATAACACTCATGAGTGTTTGGTGTACATGCGTTCATCCATAGGCTCAACTATCTTCTTATACGAGGGAACTTTAGAGTTCGCCATTACGAAAACCAACACAAATTGAAATCTTCAAGGTAACTCGACTCAGTCAATTGCCTCGCTTTGGAAACCAAGCACTGCAGAGTGAACCCGTTAGTCAATCTTGCGGCGTCGAGCTGATACAAAAAATGAGTAAATGAACCTTGAAGCCATCTTGCTGATGCTCACATGGCGGCCCATGCCGGACGTTTTTCTCGGGGTGTTTTTTTCCGAGACCCTCGTACTCAGAGTAATCGTGGCTCGGGGGCTCCCCAATATAGCCCATTGCATACAATGACTGCAATACCACTATCAAGATGACTGTAAATATCAACAACCACGACCAAGGCTGACATCAACAACAACGACATGAGCAGTGGTGGAACGCTACTACTTACCGAGTTGTCGTTGAGGACCTTCAACATGCTCACTTCGCGCATTTTTGATAATACAAAACAACTACTCCTTGAGACATCACTGAACATCAACACCTTCGCACGCGAGAGAAACACTACAATTGGCACTTCAAGTGAACAGTAATATCATCATCGCTTCGCTCCGTGGCATTTCTTATACCTGATACGAGTGTTAAAGAATATGCACATGTTCAACCACATGTGTTGGTGGCAATGTGAAAATTTCGAGGAAATTTCGGGAAATTTTCGTTAGTTTTTGGCACATTTCCACCAAAATTCTCTCGTAAGCTTCTACGGCTCAGGATACTCCTGAGCTCAGCTCGAGGATAGTGTGCATATTTCCAAACACTGCCCGATACAAGCCTAGCAGTGTAGCGCCTGACCAGCCATATTTTCTCACTTAAGACCGCTTCCACAAGGGCATTTCTCATTAACTCCTATTTTCTTCTTCGTCACAGGCGGCCCCGATTTATCAGTGCTCTCAATTTCAGAAGCCTCATTACTAGCAGAGATGCTACTCGTTCCACCACAGCTCATCTGACTTGCGGTCTGAGGAAGAACACAATCATAATTTTGTATAATACAGTCAAGGTTAGCCTATCCACCTATAAGAAATAACATTTCTCAGGGTTTGATAACAATCGAGGGAAATGTTCCTAATGTGAGGACATCAACATAGGAAACTCATTGAAGAATGAGCTCTTAGCCATGTGGGAAATTTGAAATGAGTTTGACCCGTGTTATGAAAAACACTAGTGAGAACCATATTCAACAACTACTGCATACTGCGAATATCGCCTTTTCCACCGAGTTTTACGCCACTTCACGTGAAACGAAGATTCTTTCCCAATACAGCCAACTCACTATTTCATTGTCAGGCACATCACTTCCATTCGTAGAGCTGCTATTAGCTTGTTCCTCAGCGATCATCACGGCTCGTCGAGAATCTTCCTCTTGCAACTAACAAGGGGAATCATCTAATCACCGCTACTGTGTGAATGCGAATGCGATATAAAAATCTATTTTATCGGCGAATATTCATATAACATCTTAACATGATGAATGCTTCCACATAGCTTGGAGTTTCGTTGGCTAAATCGAACTCTCGAACGACCTATTGAGGCCCTCCGTGTTAGCCGCTCAACTACTCCAGGGACCCATCCAGCCCTGAGAGATAGCATCCCCCCAGGGTTTGATAACAATGGGGGGAAATGTTCCTAATGTGATAATGACATTTACATGGGAAACTGATTGAAGAATGTGTTCCTAGCCATACGTGGAAAATTGAAAATGAGCCCCCCCTAAGAACACTATAGGGTCCTGGATGATTCCCTGAGCTACTTACTGCTAGTCGCTTCCCTAGATACTCCATAGGCAACGTATAGAACAGCAGATAAGCTTCTGTGGCCAAAACCTAACATATTCAAAGCTTACAATCACACTTGCATCAATGGAAACTCACTTCCCCTTCACTCGCTGGTGTTATCGTTTCGTCATCACAACGCCACCACATATCGCTACCATCGCGCACATAGGAAACGTAATGACCACTTTGTAGTGTGGCATGAACACGACTAAGAAAATGAGATCGAGTATTGCTTCGGAATAGACCCACCTCGTGAGATGAGTAACTACTCCTATGAGCTTGTACTGCTCAGCCAGAGCACCATGGGGAGAGGACGACACGCAGTAGGGTCTTAAATTCAGTTTTGCAGGGAATGACACCTGACAACTACAGAGCTGTTGAGTACTGCAAGCCGACGAACTAGAAGCTGTACCATCACATAAGCTCATGTGAAGATGACAGTGATTATTTCCAGAATGTCGTTTAAAACGTTTCGTTATAGTAACTTCGAAGTTCAAAAAAACAGTCATCATGCACTATCGGAATTTTGATGAATTCCAAAATACCGTTTTTATTTCCTATCGTAATATTCACTATTTTCAAAACTCCGTTCATACTTTCTATCGTAGTATTCACTATTTTCAAAACTCAGTTCATATTTCCTATCGTAATATTCACTAATTTGAAAAATGCCGCTATCATTCACCATCGTAAATTTGATTAATTTCTAAATTCCGCTTCATTTTCTATCGTAATATTTAATAACTGCAAAAAGGCGTTTTTACTTCCTATCGCACTTTCCACTAATTTAGAAATGCCGTTATCATTCCCATCGTAATTTTAATTGATTTCAAAATGCCGATTGTATTTCCTATCGTAATATATACTAATTTCAAAATTCTTTTTCTCATTCGCGACTCGATCAACTTCAAAATGCTGTGTGTAATGCAGTCCTAATAATAACGAGTTCAAAGCTATCCCTTCCTGAGGTAAACGGCAACCGCAAAGACCAACCTCACCGTCTGTTTGTTCTTCATCATATTCATGTCGAATCTCTTTAGGTGTATCACTAAGACCATCGGGGTGTCATAAAATAGTATTCGACGGGCAGCTCGGACCCTGAACATTGGAGTTTCACCACCCGTGATATGAAAAAACACTAGTAATCGCGAATATCGCGTTTTTCAAAGAGTTTTACGCCACTTCACGTAAAACGGATGAGACTCCATCAACTCCTTCACCCACATGCAGTAGACCAGAACCAACCTGTTGTGACAGCACTCGCACAAAAGCTTGTTGTCCTTATCGAGCCTCGTGGGCGCCGTGAACAGTCTCAAACAATCTTCTAGTGAAGAGGTGACTTCAGGTAGCAGATCTATTGATAAATCCAAATATGGCTCTAAAAAACAAAAAACAATTCCATAAAAACGCGAGAACTAACCTCACCACTAACATAGGTTTGCTTCGGGCACTTCGGGCACTGCGTTAAAGTCGCATACCACGCCCCGAACAATCGAGAGTTGATGGCCGAATCGTAATCAATCGGCCCCTCCAGTCCATCTGCATTAAAACCGTCAACGAAATTTACTAATTTTGGCGCACCGGTTCGACGTAGGAGGTCACCAGTAGCAGATTCGAGACGGTCCAAGATAAAACGCAGAAATTCGTGACTGTCATGCTGGTACCTGTAATAGTACTATAGCAACTCTCAAGGGAAATAGAACCAGTAAACTCACCCTAGTGGGAGGTTATCGTCCAAAATATCAGGTATTGTATTCCGAGGATATACACTTGAACGATCATACAGCGGTCCGTTCTCCAACGCTATAGGCTCCGAATCCGCAGTAGTAGAAGAGGAAGTCTCCAGAGCCTCGACACGTTGTGATGGGAGCACCTCAGAAGCTAAGAGGACACCTCTCATAATCATTACTATACAATGCTCAACGAGGCGGCTCACTTCCATCATCATACTCCACACTGACGGCAACTATACTGTCGGCTGACTCTGCCGTGATAGTAGTAGTACTAGGCAGCTCGTTGGCGTCGTGATAGACATCTCCACCATCAGTTTGCACCCCAGCAGAATCGGAATCACAGTCCTCATCCATAGCAAGCACTTTAGGGTCAGTATGGATACTACTAACTCGTCCTACTCTGCCCTCGAGGCCGTCGACACGGACCTAGGGGGGAAGCAGCATCTACTTACCTTATTGAGGTGTTAATACAAATATAATGTATCATTACATATACGGGGTTTTCACGTACTATTCAGCCAGTGGGGGGGGATGAATTTTTTTAGTTTTCTTTCGATTTTCTCCCATTTTCCTCTTTTTCTCCAATTTTTCAAATTTTTTTTCAATTTTTTCCAATTTTTTCCATTTTTTCAATCTCATTTCAGTTTTTTTCTAGTGACAGAGACCCTCGGGAGGTGTGGCCCTCGAGAAGATACTGTGCGATTCGTATAACCCTACCCACTACAATAAGAAAGAAGAACGTCTACTGGTCACCTCGCGCAGAGAACTGAGGCTGCGCGGCACACATCTCCATGGCGTAGTTATTATATCAGTATCAACACTCTAGATTTATACATATATGCAATCCTATTATATATCTATATTACTATACACTCATTCATCACTGTAGTTTCACCCGTTTTACGTGAAGTGGCGTAATACTCTGTGAAAACCCGATATTCGCAATATGCAGTGGTTTGTGAAATAAGCTCTCCACTAGTGTTTTTCATATCACGGGTAAAACTCCTTCATTTAACTGCTCACTAATTATAAGATACTACCATGCTGCCGAGGGTGAGCTCAGGAGAGGCGACCGTAGGAGGCGGCAGGGACTGTGGTCGTGGGGGTATCGGCGTGGGGTAGTAGCTGAATACACGCCACTGTGGTGAAGGGCTAGACTACTCATATTCATACTCATCTAGGAGCTCTTTAAATGCTCGTAAGAAAACTGACTTGCCATCTGACGCCGCTGGGTTGACCTGTGGGATACCTGCAAACCGAAAAATACCCTGACCGGGGATCGAACCTGCGTCCAGTATACTACTCTTGATATAACGAACAAACAAGGGTATTCTAAACAGGCACTGGAGAACCTGATAAGAACCATACTGTGAGTCTAAGTGATACCATCCCTCACCGAATTAGCAAAGCATGTATTCCCTATGTTGTCAATGCCCTTCATAGGAGCCTCCCAGGGATCAGTCGCACCTAAGGAAACCGTTACAAAAACTCATCCAAGTGGTGACGAAAAACTACCAGCCGCGCGACTGCTCTGTGTCACCATATGACGCCACTGACGATCGGGAATAATCTGCCACGGAAAATAGTGGTTTTGAAATACAATATCAATGGAGTTTCATCCGTTTAACGTGAAGTGGCGTAATACTCCATGTGAACTATAGGATTTCCGCGACAACCGATAACACATTCCGCGAAGCGAAGTATGTTTCCCACTCCTGCTTTCCATATCACTGGTGACACTCATATGTTAGGTTCCGCTATCACCACACTGTCAATGCAGTACACGCTTGGCTCGAAGTGCAGCTGCGATAGTATATATTCCATCAAAAATTCAATAATCCTTATTCTCATTTGTTGCATCAGTCGAGAAATTCACCGTACAAAATTCTTGATGCCCCCCTCCACTTGCGTGAGTACTAACAGAGTTTCACCCGTGATATGAAAAACACTAGTGAAAAACATATTTCAAAATTCACCACGCGGAAAACAATTATGTTATCGGTCGCTAGGACTTTCACGTCTCAAATTTACTCCACGTTGGACGGCTGAGACTCCAATAGTACCTTCCGTTTTTTATCAGCTCTCAACTTTAGCATCGTCACAGGCAGTAGTGATGGTGTTTTACTTGATAACTCTGCGTGTCCGCACAACGCCTACAGTATGATACTCTCCAACGGTAAATCCTGCTGCTATCTACCTGATGACCCAGGATCCAATCCTTCTTCTGACATGCAATACTGCAGTAGTAACTACATCGATAAGTCTCCCTCTCGTTATACCACAGTTTCTGACTTATTACACGTTCCTGCATCGCGGACAGAGACTGTTAGCAGGCTGGTAGCAGTTCCCACATAGATGCCCTCGTGACTGTCGATTCGACTGCATAAGGAACCACCAAGGAACTACTTATCATCATAACCATTTAACTATCGTCAACACAACTCCTTCACTCGCCACGAAATTCCGCAATTAATAGATTCTTGACGTGGAGAACAAAAGTGCAGTTCTCCACTTCGAAATTGAAACTCTCCACAAGTTAGCTTGCCAGGAGCACATTGAAGAAAGTCTAGGACAATGTTCATATTTTGAATAAAAACTTTGTAGTCGTGACAGCACAAGATTATCATTTCCACTGCGTTTCCAAGCGTCCCCCAGCGTTTCACTCTTCACCGCCCTAAAAGCTCTTCTGTAGCATCACCAACCCATGGATCCTCGTTGGCGAGTATGTCTGCATGCATCATGAATACAACGTGGGAAATGTATGTACCAAACAAGTTCACGATCAACAACAACTAACGCAACCACCGATAACACGTGTATACAATACGATACAGAGTTTAGGCTTGAAATTGTATGTATATTTTTCACCAGAGAATCGTCACTACTCACACCTCCGACAAAGGAGCTTCGATAAGCACACACCAACAATCTTTGGCACTCGCATTAGGAAGAAGGTGATACCAGTTGTTCGCATCATACTAACATGAGCTCCACAACGATAACACCGAATTTGCTATGAAAAGCCTTTAGTAATGGTGGTATGTGTATAGAAGTGTAGAGATGAGCAAAATAGACCAACACTTCAAGCTCAATACAGACTCTTGTAATGTGTGTGGAAATCTGACTCCTCATCCACACTCAATTAGTACCCATAAAGAGCCGCTAGGCGAGAAATGATCACTGCAATGACCATGGAAATGAGCAGCTGCATAGTTGTAAAACCCGAGGAAGAGCGAGCCACCACCGCACTACGAGCCTGTGTAGAGGGAATGACCATCCAACAAACAGAATCGGTGATATTACCTTGTTGGCTTCGAGCTCCTTCTCCAACTTGGACTTCTCCTTTTCAATCGACAATGTGTACTGAACGAGTTCGTCGTACTTGCCTCTCAGTTCTCCAGCAGCAATATTAGAAGAATTCGTGGCGGCAACGGTAGGAGCAGTAGCAGCGGCACCTTCCTTGGCCTGAGAGCCCTCCTCAGCTGGCTTGAAGATAACATGGAGACGTTGCTCGTGAATATCCGCCTTGGCAACGCGAGCCCATTCGTCACGCTCAAGAGGCTGACCTGTGGCACTAGTAGTAGCTTGAATGAGGAACCTATCTGTGTTGAGGCTTGGATCCGAAGTTTGCGGCTGCAAAATAATCTGCACATCCACAGTAGCGTCGGCAGCAACAACACCAGAAGAGGGTCGAACTAGATAATTGCGAGGAGCAGTCGTCTTGATTTTGAAAGCCACTGCCTTCTTGTCCCCGTCAACATTAGTCAGGGACAAGGTAGTGTTAACCGATTGATACAAAGTGTTGGGGAATACGATTTCACCAGGCTTCACAGATAGGAGACTAGGCATGACGGATAATCCTTCAGATGCAAAAATGGCAACTGTTCACTGCACACCACAATCTTATAATCATCGTCAACGATCCTTGCCTGAAATGGAATAATTCCTCCGATCCCATCAAATCTGTACTCAACACTGGACGACTTTCTCCGGAAGCCTAGATTCCTAATTGTCCTCATTCTCCACTAAACTGTGTCACACTAGCTAGTCGACTCAGATCCTAATGAAATTTCTATGTCTTCCCGTCAACAATGCACCTAAAAGTGCGTACTACCAAGGCAGTCTCCGAGGCGTTACGAAGATCATTTCAGAAGGTCAAGGAAGGCCTGTTAATAGAAGAAGAATCCTACCAGTGTTCACAGTAGCGCGTACACTTGAAAACTAACCTTCACTTGCATATTCCTAGCGCTAAATTGTTAGAGGATAACTCGTTATCCCAGGTTAAAGTCCGGAAACGAGTGGCACGTCGCTCCGTCTTTACCTCACCCGCCATGTTCGACAAAAGTTTCGCCTGGCTCGTTGCTGTGACTACCGAAGTCTATGGGATTAAGGAGCAGCAGACCACAGCGTCAAGCCAGAACATGTTTTTGAACTACATGTTGACTCGAAACTATCCCATGGGAGGGTGGGAGGGGAACCCACTTTGACCCATTTGAAACATCTCAACCCACAAGGTTAGATGGTTAGGTCAGCACGATACTGTGCAACGCCGCCGATCGCCAAACTTTTGATGCAATCAATGCTACGCTCCGCTAGGCTTCGCTCCGCTCATCCTAACATCACGTGCATTGATGAGCCACAAAAGTTTCGCCTGGCTCGTTGCTGTGACTACCGAAGTCTATGGGATTAAGGAGCAGCAGACCACAGCGTCAAGCCAGAACATGTTTTTGAACTACATGTTGACTCGAAACTATCCCACTGCTTGTACCCCCATCGTTCGACACAATGCGCGTGCGTGCGTTTGCACTACTCACTTCAAAGATAACTACCCGGAAAGTGGCGTGACGAGCTTGGGTACGGATCGCATTGTTCAGCTTTCTTCAAGTTCGGAGCAGAAGCTCAAACGAACAGCCCTTTCGCAGGTGCAGTGTTTCGTTGGCACTACTACCACCTCAATTGAGCTGGGATGTAGCGTCGCGTTTTGCGCCCGGTTCGAAGAGGGTCACTAAGGATGAATAAGTCCTGCGAGCAATTGATTCCTTTACCTTTGTTGGCTCTGCTCTTCCCTCCACCTGTTCGTTCTGCAAAGCCAACTTGGCTTTGCCAAGTCGTGATGAGTAGTATCTCGGCTTGCTAGCTAGCATTGTAGTCTCAATAGCGTTTTTCATTGTGCTGGTGCACCCTGACATAGCGTTGTGCATTCAAGTCACGGAGCGCCTTTCAGGCGAGCACAATCGAGAAGAGATGAGTCTCGATTCCATAGCCTCGCATAGACCAATCGCGCAAGGTATGAAGCAAGACGCGGGCGACTCGAACCCGACATCAATACCTGGTAACAAGCAAGCTACCGCCTGGCTTTTCAACCAAACATCCAGTTCCCAGGTACAGGAGTGACACCGAGTAAGAACGAGAGCAAATGTCGAGCTGCATCGAAGACAGCGAGGAATACATTCCTTCCTACGTAGCTAGAGCAGTCCGCAGCCTAGAGCTCGACGCACAGGAGCAGTTCACCGACTTCAGAAACGGTGGCATGTGTGCTCTACCAGGCGAGGAGCAACCCATGTCCGGCCAGCAAGTCTCCTTTGGCAAACGCCTAGGCAAAATGCTGCTCGAAGAGGGTTTAAAGTGCAACCTCAAGGAGCTCGTGGAAAAAATCGACCGGAAGCCAACTCAGGAACAAGCAGATGCGCTTGAGAAGGCAGCGGAAGTCGCGGCATGCAACGTACGGCAAGCTTTGGCAGCTGAGTTCGGGAGCTCCATATTACAGAGGGACAAGGGTAACTCAATCTACTGCGGCCTGCTGAGTGTCATCACGGAGCAACTCGAGCTGCAAGACGTCGATTTCCCCAAAATATGCAGCCAAGGGCTACCTTTAGGGATCGATGTTGAGATACCCCACTCAAGCCTCTACCCTCGCTACAAGCCCAAGAAACAAAGTCTCTACGAGATTCCTAGGGTCCATTCCAATTACAAGTCGATGTTGATCCCTGAAGTGAGGGAGAAGGCCGACTGCATCGTCAGAGAAGAGGAAGCGAAAGGATATATCCAGCGCATCGACAATTCGAGTTTAGCGTCGGGTGGGCGAACTTATATCCGCCGAGCGGCCGTACCGAAGGCAGGCTCCTACGAAAACGGCGTGCGAATCGTCGAGGATTTCAAACGGAGCAACACCAACCTGCACTCGTCGATCCCGAATACGGCACGCTTGCCATCGGTTTCGCATTTGCGACAGTTGGTGGGCTCTCTGACTGCACCGCACAGTCAGTCCACCTCCAGCTACAAGATCTTGCAGTTTGATTTGAAATCTGCCTACCGCCACCTCGGTATACATCCCGAGGAAAGGAAGAATGCCTCCTTTACTCACACCTTCCAGGACGGAAACACCGTCGCCTATGAGAATATGGTTTTATCCTTTGGCCATAGTGCGGCCGCGTATTGGTTTGTCCGCTACGCCAGCCTGGTCTTGTCCTGCCTGGAACTCATACTGCGCGCCATGTTCTCCTCGACGAGCTCAAAGCCATTCGCCTGCTATATGTACGTTGACGACGGTTTTCTCTGCGTGCGAATTGAGATCTACACTGAAGTTGCCATCATAGTAATAGTATTTTGGCTTCTTCTCGGTTCCGCCCTGAGCTGTAATAAGCTCCGGTGCAACTCATCGGATGGCACTGTCGTGGGTATCCGCGTTGACACCAAAGATCACCCTCGATTCGAGATCGATCCCTCTAAGACAGGGAAATTACTAGAGGACTTACGCAAGGTCGTCCGTGCAGGAAGAGTGTCGGAACAGGAGCTATCGTCTCTGGCCGGGAAGCTCAACCGATACGCATCTTTGCGCAAGTATCTGAAGCCCTACCTACAGCCCTTCTACGGCCTTTTAGCCGTAATGCGAAAAGTCGGCCGAGTCACAGGATCCTGTCCACCTGGGAGTGAAGTGCACATCACCGCGAGATTCTTCATAAAAATTCTAACCGACCCCCATGCCTTCCACTCAGTGGGCCCGATTCGTAGGTCGATTGATGGCTTCTCCGGTACGCTGCTATTATTCACCGACGCTTCAACTCGGGCCTTGGGAGGGGTCATAGCACTTCGTGACGGCTGCTCTGATAACTTCACTAAGCCCGAGAAGTCCCAGCGCACAATTTGGTTCCACAAAAAAAATCGATGAGTCTGTTCTCAAGCCCTGGAATATGGCAGCCAAGGACGGCCGCGTGGGGACTGAAGCAAAAAGTATCGTGATCGCTGAGCTACTAGCGACATGCCTGGCCCTCAAAGAGGCAGAGCGGGCCTATGGGAATCTCTCTGACTATAAGGTCGTCATTTACGTCGACAACAAGGCGGTAGCTTCAATCCTGAGAAGCATGTACTCCAAGGCACCGGTACTTGCTCGGTTGCTTCGGAGCATGGTTGAGAGTCTAGCCAGACTCACTCTGACAAGCTACACCGCACAGTGGCTGCCGTCAGAAGAGAACTGGATCGCCGATCGGATCTCTCGAGGGGACACAACCTTCTTACCCACGTCATGAGCGTCGGTTGACGTTGATGAGAATTCATTACAAGCATTGGCTTCAGGCAAGTTTGAATGAACATTAGTGTAAGCACGGGTTTCTGATAATCGCACGTTTCTGTCCAAGAGGCCGAGTTATCTTGTTTTGCTTCAATAGTACAATCTGTCGCAAAATCTCTACGGCATTATGTAGAACTCCTTTCGCATGGCCGATCGGCGCCGAAAAGCAGTCGCTTTCCTTCCCCAGGCGAAAGCCGAGGGAAGGAATCTATCTGAAGAGGTAGCAGATCTCGTGCGTTCTGCTCTGGCTCCCACTACCAGGAAGACATATACTTCTGGAGAGAAATTGTTCCGCGATGTTATCTTGGGCCCTAAGACTAGAATCGACAAAATGTATCCGGTCTCTTCGGATTCAATACTCACCTTTATATACGTCCTCAATAAGGTCGGATATGCGTACTCGACGGTGAAAACCTACACGTCTGCTATCAAGACTCGAAACATCGAGAATGGCCATGCTTTCTCCCAATTAGAAGCCGGGCATGTTAGGAGGGCTTTAATAGCAGTCCGGCGGGGCAGCTCCCGAGCTGGAACCCCCCTGGGGGCCAAGGCCCCAGTCACGATCGGTCAAGTTCGTGAGGCCTTAACACTCTGCAACGGAGGGAGGAGAGAGTCCGGCATAGCTATTGTGATGTGTATCCTGGGATTACTCCGGAGCAGGGAATGCTTGAGCTTGCAATGCTCTGATATTATCTTTAACACCGTCGAGGGTATGGACGTAGTCGAGATTCACATACGCCGCAGCAAATGTGATCAATTCGGCAAGGGCGCCGTCGTGACGACGGCGTCGTCCGCATCGGATGTGCCTGTGCGTCTCCCATTCGCCCCTGCCATGAACCAATCTGTGCAGTACATAAACTCTATCAATATATGTGCGACGGATTCAAAAACAAGTGGCTGAACCCGAGGGGACCTCTCTTCGGCTGCCTCACCTATCACACCTTTCGTCGCCATGTCAAAACGATTTTTGAAGCGCAGCTCCCAACTTCACACGGCTCGATAGCAACCCACTCTTTGCGACGCAGCGGAGCCCAGTGGATGTGGTATGCTGGTATAAGTACCTTCAGCATTTCGCAGTACGGTAGATGGGCTATACAGAATGTCCTGGAGAAGACGTATTTGAGGGGCGTCACCGCAATGGTAGAACACCACTATGCAGAGGCCATGTTGCGAGGTCCGTCACGCCCACACAAAGATCTTCTTCGGTGATTAACGCCAGGATAATCGTTTCCGAAACCCAACTTCGAATCGTGTTTAGTGGGTCTGGATTGGGCACAAGAACTAACACTTTCTGCACTGTAACTGAAATGGAACTTTCAAGCGAAAGCCCCTGTAAGTCTGCAAATGCTAGTCACAGTTCAGAAAGCATAGTTCTCCATGACAAGCAGGGTTCGAGGCTGAAGTCTTAAACCCCAGCTTGTTTCCAGACCCACGTGCCATCGAGTGTGGATGTTTAATAGAGGATAACTCGTTATCCCAGGTTAAAGTCCGGAAACGAGTGGCACGTCGCTCCGTCTTTACCTCACCCGCCATGTTCGACACAATGCGCGTGCGTGCGTTTGCACTACTCACCTCAAAGATAACTACCCGGAAAGTGGCGTGACGAGCTTGGGTACGGATCGCATTGTTCAGCTTTCTTCAACCCACCCCACCACACCCGGCACAAGAACTAACACTTTCTGCACTGTAACTGAAATGGAACTTTCAAGCGAAAGCCCCTGTGAGTCTGCAAATGCTAGTCACAGTTCAGAAAGCATAGTTCTTCATGACAAGCAGGGTTCAAGGCTGAAGTCTTAAACCCCAGCTTGTTTCCAGACCCACGTGCCATCGGGTGTGGATGTTTAAACTGTTTTCAACTCAACAATTGAAAGATTCAATTCTGTCGAGTGAATTTGTATTTCGCCAACATCATTGGCATATCACGATCGAGACACTGGTTTTATACGGTAGTTTAGCGAATATATCGCATGTATGGAATTGGTCAACCAAATGCTGTCGAAATGAGCGGAATTGGTTGCCAATTGTAGTAAACTCATATCCACCATGCGCTTGTGGGTCAGTTGCTGTAGGCCGATCGGATCGAAAATTGCTCCTCGTGAACGCATCGTTTATAGCGTATTCATTTCTGAGTCTGGTTGGGGCAGCTATGCCATACGAAAAGATGCCTCACTACAACAAATTTGTTCTCCGTTTGTGGTAACTGCGATATCCAAGGAGATGTCACACTACAATCAACTCCTCCGCTGGGGCAGCTATGCCATCGAAGGAGAAGCCTTACAGTAAGGCCCTCACTAGAATCTATTTTTGGGGGCAATTACGCCATCCAAGGAGATGCCTCACTACAATGGAGACAACTGAGTTGGCCTGCTCAATAATGACTAATATTATAAGTAGCCAATCTAGTCTAGCAGGATAAGTTAGTGAACTGTTGCGCGGGTGTCTCAGCCTGAGATTTTCAGGTTGGAATCTTCGTCGAGGTATATTTCGGAATTCAGGTATAGTCAAGGAAGTCGGTATATAGTACGTTGTTGGTGGCTTCAAGTTCTATCCCAAGAAACCCCATTCCAGGAATGGGGCTCAGAATGGACAAATACAATACGTGAGAATCTCATCTGTATTCCATCGCCAACACTACAAATGGAAATGCGCTACGCAGCGTAGCCTACGCCAAACAGATTTGTTATGCAAACTTGGTCTTACGTAGGCCTGCCCTCGCACACTTCCCCCAACGGTAGCAAATCATCTAGCTGAATATTTGGTACAACGTTCTCCAATAACTGTAGACTCAGATTGTGTTTG